AACCAAGATGCATTATGTAAAGGTACAATTCCCAATGAGAAATGTAATTGTGTTGTATACCTACAATGTACCAATAAAAGAGTTTAATTTTTTTTAAAAAATCATGCTTTTCAGAATACAGCTTTGATTGGGTTGTACAAATTTTCACAAGGAAAACTTGAAGAATAAATATTGCTTATTAAGCCTAACATCCTGCTTCCATTATAAACATCCCACAGTATTGCTTATTTTAATATTTAATTTGACATAATTATTGACTTACTGAAAAATGCAAAAAAAAACCAATATAGAGAATTTCTATAACACCTTGCATAACTATACTACAATTGTCAAAACTAATAATGGACATTGGTTCAGAATTATAATACTAGTAGTTTCATTTTAGTCCTATTAAATGAATATGAATTTATTTCTCTGCTATCCTTTTCTGTCCAGAATCCAATTCAGGTTCTCACATAGCAGTTAAATAATGTATTCTGTGTTGATTCCTCAGCTGTGTTTCTTTCATGGTCTTGACACTAATGGATACTGGTCAGTTAAGTTGTAGAATGCAACTCACTAGTATTTCTTGGATGTTTGCTCGTGATTAGGTTGATAGTAAACAAGAATAAATTTGAGACATTTTTAGGTAAACAGATGAACCTCAAGACCATAATTTTAAGTGAAATAAATCAGATACGAAAGTTCAATTATCACATTGTTTCACTTATGTGAGAAACTCAAAGGGTAAATAAGGAGCAAAATGGATGGTAGATATTGGGAAGTAGGAAGAAGAGGGTAAGGCAGAGGGAGAAAGAAGGAAAGGGAAAAGGGATTAAAAAAAGATTGGAAAAATGGAGACAAAGTTTTTGTAGATAGAAAGGGGACTAAGGGTTGGAGGAAGGGGAAGGGAATGAGAAAAAAAGAATTAAGATATATTATGTACAGGTGCAAATTCCCTATGATGAAAGTGATCATTATGTATAGCAAACATATACTGATAAAAATGTACATGGCTGTGGGAAAAATGCAGCAGAGGTACAAAGCCCTTTTCACAGCATCATATCAAGAGTTTATGATGTTGAAAAGTCTTATTACTGATGATGTTAATCTTGGTTAAGATGAAGTTTGCCAGGATCTCAACATAGAGTTATCGTATTTCCCTTTATTGTTGATAAATATTTTGGTAGAAATATGTATGTAAACATACTGTTTCTTCCAAGCTTATCTAATTTTTGTATCAGCTTGTCAAACATGTTTTACTTGTTTGAATAGTGTGTGTGTGTTTTCTTTAATTCCTTAGAAACTTGTAAATTTTTCTGTAAGGAAGAGCTTTCCTTTTTTTCCTGGTTTATCCAACTATTTATATCAGTACTAACTCATACTCTTTATTATGCAGGTTGTACTCCAGTAGGATCATTATTTAATTTGCTGCTCAAATTGTTTTGATTCCTACCACCAGGACTGTTCTTTCAAACTTGGCCCTCTTCCATTCTGATATAACACTTTCCTTTTTCTTTCTTTTATGTTTTAAAACTGCATTTCCATACTTTCTGGTATCAAAAATATGTTCCAAGCTCATTTTGTTTTTTCCATGCCCCCACCCAGAAATGATCTACTTGTACAAAGCAATTTGGTTATTTTTCTTTGGAAAGGTATTAAAAAATCAACATCTAAGCATTTACCATTCTTCTTGAAGTTGCTTTTAATGTTTTTTTAATATGTTACTGAGGATTGAACCGAAGGCATTGTGCATACTAAGCAAGTACTGTACCATTGAGATACACTCTCATCCCTAGAGCTTAATAGGTTTGTGACCTAGTAAATATATCTGTACAAGAGTGATAGTGCTTTCAAGTTCATACATTAGAGAGGACTTGACTGGAGTCACCAATTTGTATTCTTTTATGGAAAGAGGTAAAATTGGCAGGATTTAGGAGGTTTTATAAATTATCAGTTTTTATCAAAAGATGACCTATGTGCTTACAAAACAGCACACATGTGAACTTCTATTTATTACACTCTGATATGAAACCAGGGATATTTTATTATTTTAGAACTTAATTAAACAACATCCTAACTAATAACTGAATGTACGGGAAGGGAAGATAAGTAGAGATCGTATCTTTGAAATGTTTAAAATGTCTTCAAATGAGATATTTTTTGCTCCACAGTGTTATTTTAGAGTGAGGCTTTGAGCCCACATTTTCACTCTAAAAGTACAGATTTTAGGCAATATTGGCCCTCCATACTTTTCTTGCAGTTCAGAGTACCCCTTAATGTCCAGAACATTTAGGAACTATTTCATTTATAATTTTAAACTTCTTCTGACTCTGAATGATTGACTAAGTCCCTTTTGTTGGTAACGATGTCATAAATTTCATAAAGTAAAATACAGGAGATATGATAAAGATGTAGTCTGTCCTTGAACATAAACTGCATCATAATATGCTTTTCAAGCCAGATTAACCCTAATTCATCTTTTTCATGCTTCATAAATGTTGAGTAATATTTATGCTCTGTTTAATTACTAGGTCAAATTTACTCCTTAGGAATTTAACATATAATTGAACTGTATATATCCAATGATATATCTGCCTCTCATTATAGGTTTTAACTTTGTTCTTATCACAGAGATGTAGGCTGGTCATTGGTAAAGAATTCATTACCGTGCTATTTAAAACACATTTAATTTAAATGTATTACTTGAGGTTTACAATCAAATTTAGTAGGAGTATCATCTAATTGATGCTTTTCCCTCTACAGCAAGGCAGAAGCTCTCCAGATGTGTTCCACAAATGAAAACTTTTTTATCCCAATGTTACAAAGAAACAGCAAAGATCTCCCAGGGATGACCCCCAGTGACTTGAAGACATGCACTGAAGGAGCTGTGTTAAGTTTTCATAACATCTCCTATCGAGTAAAAACAAGGAGTGGCTTTCTATTTGGCCAGAAAACAGTAGAGAAAGAAATACTATCAAATATGAGGTATGTACTTGAACTTCTTAAAAGAGCACTTTGTTGATCCCACAGTGAAGTATATAGGTTTTCCCTGTTACCAACAGGTGTTGTGAACTTTTGTGTCCATGCATTTGCACAGATATATGTAATTTCATTTCTTTCAGCTACCCTAGGAGTAAAGTGATTTGGATGACTTCTTTAATAGTGGAGAGATTTTTTATGTTTTCTTAAAAGTAATATATACATATATATATATATATATATCTTAAATATATGTATACATACTATATATTGTGGGCCCTTGACTTATGAACTCAATTTGTTCATGAGGGCTGGTAGTAACTCCAGTTGGTTGTAAGTCAAGACTATTTTTCCCATAAGAAATAATGGAAAAACCTATAATGTATTCTGAATATCCCAAAGCGTCTTTTCATAATAAAAAGGTTTATATAATGTGCATAATTTACCAGAAACACCACTAATTTTCCTGGTGTATTCAACAAAAATTTATAAAATGTGCCTAGTTTACCAGAAACAACAATTTCATACTGTACTCACCATGCAAGTTGGCATCTTTGGCTTGCAGGAAGGGAGGATGAAATGGAAGGTGGTTATTGTTTAGAAGGAGAGTCCCCTTATATAAGAACATCAGGAATCTGACTCTGGTGTCCTTTCTCTCTTTGGGGGAGTCTGTAACCCACTGGGACCTGCTTCTGGCTTACTAGGTCTCAACCTTTTCAGAACTAAAACTGGTCTAAGGTTGTCAATTTCTGTCTTTTTTTTAACACTGTTCTGTAGTATGACACAATGTTATCATTAAGCAAGTAAATGCAATGATTAGCTTTTTCTCTATCTGAATGGGTCTTCTCTACAAATGTTTGTAGCTCTGTCTATTTTTTCAGAATTTCCTCTATTTCAGACAAAGAATTTTGCTGCACTGATTGTTGACACTCCCTCTCCTCCTCAGAAAGCTCCTCAGCTGCCATTCCCTGTTGCTCAGCCAAAAGTTCCTGATGTTCCTCTGTAAACAATTCCTGAGTGTCTCTCTACCAGTTCCTCAACATCACCTCTGTCTACTTGCAAGCCTATGGACTCTGTTATAGTGACAATGCCATCAACCATAGGGTACACTGAAGGCTCAGGCTCCTCTATGTAGCCTTCTTCTCCTGTATGGTTTTAGGCCATAATTTCTTCCAGGCAGATACCAATGGTCCTTAGAGAGACATTGGCCCAGGATTTCTCAATTAACCCCACACAGGACAGGATGTTATAATGTTCCTTCTAGAACTCTTTAAGGGTTAAATCTGCATCTGAGACCATCTGGAAGCATTTTAGGAACAGTTCCTTGGTGTATAGCTTTTTAAAGTTAGCTATTACCTGCTGGTCCATAGGCTGCAATAGAGGAATTGTATTAGGTGGGAGGAACTCGACCAAGAGCCATGAGAATTCTTCAGCCAATTCTTCTTCCAAATCTCATGGGTAAGCAGGAGCATTATTCATGATGAGGTGAGCCTTGAATGGTAAACCTTTGTCCTCTAGATATTTCTTAACAGTAGGACAGAAAGTCTCCCTGATCCTCTCAAGAAAAAGTACTCTTGTTACCCAGACTTTTGTGTTAGATCTCCTCATGACCCCTAGCCTATTCATAACTTTATGTTTTCTGAACATTCTAGGGGCCTCAGAATGATAAACCAAGAGAGGCTTTATCTTGAGGTCACCACTAGCATTGGCACATAGCAATAAGTTTAGCCTATCCTTCATAGGCTTTTTGTCTGATATTTTCTTCTATTCCTGGGCAATGTATGTTCTCCTGGGCATTTTCTTCCAGAAAAGGCCAGTTTCATCACAGTTGAAAACTTGGTGAGAGCAAAAGCCATCTCTGTGTCATTGTTTTGAAGTAGTGTATGTAATTTTCAGCACTCCTTTTATTAGCACTGGCTGCTTTACCATTCCTAATTACACTATTAACCCCAGTTCTCACTTTCAATTGTGAAATCAACCCTTACTAGCATGAAATGTTTCATCATTATCATTCTTTGATGTATCCTTTATGAGATCTGCATTTATAGTCCTAGCTTTTAAAAAAATTATAGACTCAGGGTATCACCTGCCATCTGCCTTTGATTTATTCACATTAATAATAGCCTTTCTACCTCATCTAACTGTTGATCATGACTTACAAATTGGAATAACACCTTCAGCAACACTAGCTTCCTTATACAAATTTTTTCCTATAAGATTTTCCAGATGACATGTTAGTGTACATATTAGCGAGATTGGTCACACAAATGCCCCTGTGATATTTCTCCACACCCTAGAAAATATATTTCTAAGATACCTACATTTGCTAACCTTGACTCCTTTTCCCACATCCTCCTTCTTTTAAAAAGCCTTGACCTCTCAACCTGATCATGTTGTTTCCTCCCTAGGAACTCACCTGCTGTCCCTTTTGGCAGTATATAATAGGAATAAACTCATGTCTTTTCTATATTTTTCTTGTCACTTTTTTCATATTTTTATTAGTACATGTTTGCAATGCATAATGATTACGTTCTTCGCGGAGAGTTGGTACATGTACATAACACATCATAATTCTTTTTTCACCCCCTTTCCCTACTCAGACTCTCCCTCCCTCTGTCTCTTGGTCTCCTTCCCATTTGCAAAACATCTCTCTCTCTATTTCCTATTTTCTATCATTTGTTTTTTTTAATTTATATTTTGGGTTCTCATATAAGAGAAACCATATGCTATTTATTTTTTTGTGTCTGATTTCTTTCACTTCACATTATGGTCTCAAGTTGCATCCATTTACATAAAGATGACTCAAATTTGACCTATTTTATGGCAAAATAGTACTCCATTGTGTTTAAATACTACATTTTTTTTCTATTCATCTGTTGATGGGAATATTGGTAACACAAATGCACCGTCTGACATGGCACTTTTTCTTTGGCTAAGTATTTTTAAAACCTGGAAGAGTTTACTGGCAATGATGCCTTAGTGAATATCAACCTTATCTTTGGTCATTTTAGAAGCAGTTTCTAGGTAGCTACTAATAAGGAAGATGCATCAATTTATAGCATCAAGATGCTATAAATAAATAGACCTTGAGAGTTTACCTACTTAGTATGTTTTTGCATTGACAGGAAGGGAAATACCACAGCCAAAATAAGAGGATTTTCTGTGCTACACCTTGTTCCAGGTTTACAGAACTGTCATTGTCTTTGTTCAGTATTTCAGTGAGAGGCATTTCAGTGAGAGGTATTTCAGTTATGCAACTAAGCAAAATACATGTTTTCCTCACCAACTATTGTGTAACTGGACTGGATCAGGAACAACAGACAGTAAATGCTGATGTCCTCTTAGATTATGCATTGTACTAGGGACCTCTGAAACATTACTAGAAACCTCAGCAGTACACTCCAATGTACGATGCAGGACTGAGGAAAAAAAAAACCAAAAGAACTAAGAGAGACAAAGTAGGATATCAAGACAACCAATGCCAGTGCAACCAACAAAGGCACTGGCCAGTCCAAACCACTGATTTTTATTAGTATTTATCAACTAGAGTGAAGGCAAGCTATGTGCAAGGGCAGGACTATATGCAAGAATGTGCAATTGTGTGGTTTCTATGGAAATTAATGTAAACAAGGCTCATAAAAAGACGCAGCATTCTCAAATTAGGAACAAAATATACAAAATATATGGTTGTAATTAAAACATTGTCCTTCTAGTTAAGAAGGTTTTAGTTGTTAGAATGGAATTTGGGTGTGAATTACTCTGACTTTGGCACATAGGCTTCGGCCTGACTCACTTCTATGAACAAGCCAATTGTAGTATTAACTCTTTACATCCTGCACTGCTTGCAGTCTACTTTGGGCATAATCAATATTGCAGTTTCCCACACATTGTGGTGCAGTTACATTGGAGATCTTATCATTTATGAGAATTGTGTAATTGTAGGATGTACCTTTGTGGATTGAACATTAACTGAGATCAAAATAGCTTTTAGTTTGGCCTTCCCCTTGGAAATTATACTCTTTTCTCTGTGTGATACATATTGACCTATTTACAAATTATGAGAGACTGAACATACACACTGGGGTTTAGAAAGGCTAAGTCAGGTCTACATTTTCTTTTGCCTGCCTACTTACTAGTCTTAATTCTGCTTTCTCCAATCTGTTCTACTTAACCATTCCACCTGTGACCTTTAGCATAACATAATCAAATATTTGCCTTCTTTTTGGGTCTCAGCACAGTCAGCTCTGCTGTAATTTTTTCACCTACTCTGTCAGAATATTAGTTACCCTCACACACGCATATAGTTTGTTTGAAACATAGTTGTGTCTATTCCATGCCTAAACATCCTTAAATATCTGAGCATCCCATGCTAAAGAGTGTAAACTGAACATTTTCTCATCCTCTTAGGAGACACTTAATGAGGAAGGAAATAATTCATCTGGAGTGTGTATTTCCTTTTCCAGTTGGAAGGAGTTTTTCAATGTTAAGAACTGGTGAAGTTTGTTTTTTTTTATCCTCTGGAGTGATTTTTCTTGCTTCTTTATTTCTTCTTAAGATGTATTTTTGGGGGGTCTTATTAGGGGTTTTTTTTGGTACCAGGGATTGAATTTACAAGGCAGGTGCAGTACCACTGAGCTAAGTCCCCAGCCCCATTATTAGATTTTAATAGTAAGAACTCTACTATCTATATTCTGTGAATCATTGATTACTTGTCCAGTACTTGACTAGGCAGTAAATGAGGAGGTATTTTGAAGACATGAAACATCACTCAGAAGCTGTTACATACTTGACACAGGGTTAAAAAGACCTAAGTGTAATTGATGATCAGGAGAATTTATTACTTATTTCAGGCAATATTGATTATTACCAAAAGGGTAAAAGGTTTCAAAAAATAAATGAATGGAATTTAGAGGGACCTGAACCACTTTGTATAGGTCCCAATTCAAGATTAATAGCCTTTGTATACTAGTCTTCTTATTATTTTTTCTTTACAAGTTATTCTTATTTTTTGTCTAAAATTTCATCAACCTTCATTAATTATTCAGTTCAGACCGAAGTTAATAGAACTCTATTTGAAGTGGAACAGTAAATCAATTTGATTTTATGTTTACAGTGGGATTATGAGACCTGGCCTCAATGCCATTTTGGGACCCCCAGGTGCAGGCAAATCTTTGTGAGTATAACAGACAATACGAGTAAATTTCTTTGCTATAAATTACAGTGTGCTTTAAAAAATCACTTTTCCACAACCAGGTGTTGGTTAAGGATTTGTTATGCATATCCAGTCTCATCCTAGTTGCTGTAAAAATGCGCTTTCGGGCCAGATTGTGGCTTTGTTCCAAGGACCAGGTAGTCTTATTTGGTCAGGTTTACTAATAGGATGTGAAAAAGTGATTGGCCTACAACAGCCAATATTATGAGCCAATGGGAAGGGAGAACAAGGAGATAATATTAAAAGGACGGAGATAGAAGAGAAATTCTAAGTGAAGGCATGAGATTCAAATAAAAAAGCACATTGCCTTGGTTGGGACCTTCAAGGTTAGACAGCAGGAGGATCATTTGAGATGTCTGTACTGGATAACTCAGTGATATCCTGCTTTTATGGTTTTGGGCTCTCTTGTAGCATATAATGAAAAGGTAGGTGAGAGTTTTAAAATATACATATGTATCTATTATCTTTCTTAACTAGTTTATTTTCTAACTTGAGCAGGGAAGCTAAAATATATAGCCCGTGTTGTAGAGAAAGAAACTCCGTGTCATATATGTCTTTTTATAGGTTGTTAGATGTCTTAGCTGCAAGGAAAGACCCATGTGGACTATCTGGAGATGTGTTGATAAATGGAGAACCTCATCCTCCCAATTTTAAATGTTATTCAGGCTATGTGGCACAAGTAAGTATCAGTGGATTTTCTTTTTTTTTTTTAGTTTCCTCTTGTTTCTATATGTGCATGTGCCTTAGCATATAGTTTAGTGTGCTTCCAGCTGATTATATAATGTGCTCATAGAACCAACTTTCTTTACACCAGTTTTAATAATCTTCCATTAGATTGAGGGTGGTATTAAATGGAAAGGCAAAGATCTGGAATATGATCCTTGTAGGGCAGTGGTATCAATTCTAGCTGGTATATCATTTTGAAAAGGGTCTGCTGTTATCCTTCCTTCACTTCTCTGCATCCCCTAAAATGTTTTTGATAAATCCTTATACAAAGGAGTCTGCAAGAGTTTGCTAGTATTCATCATAATTACCTATGCTCTCCTTGGGTGTGCAAATGTGGGGTGAAATATGATTCCAATAGGTTCTGCAGCTATCTGTGTATGTAGTTAGTGTAATATGTAGGATTGAAAGATCACTGTTAGCTAAAGATTTACTTTGGCTATGTTATTTTCTTGAATTAAGTTTTGTGTTTTAGTGTAATGATCTTAGAGAAGACTTGGTTTGTCTTATTAAAGTACCATTTTGCCTTAAGGATGATATCATGAAGGGCACACTGACAGTGAGAGAAAACTTACACTTCTCAGCAGCTCTTCGGCTTCCAACAACCATGACGAGTCAAGAAAAAAATGAGAAGATTAATGAGATTATTGAAGAATTAGATCTGAATAAAGTGGCAGATTCCAAGGTACTGTGAATAAGACTGGTATGAAACTTCCCTTGTGTGAATAAACTGACCTTAATCAGAAGTTTTCTGTAATGTTTGTGGTCAGGTGGCTTCCTGTAATGAGGGAAAAGTGACTAGTTACATTCACAATTTACACAATTTACAAGGAGATGTAAATTAAACTGGAAAAAATTTAACAATGATCCAATTCTGGAGATGGTGTGAGATTTAGGATGGAAATGTGTCCTCATATAGCCTTTTCCATATTATCCTCCCTCACCCTCATTGTTCAAGTCCTGGCTCATTTGATAACTTTTTACTAATTTTCCTCTTCATGTTTTTCTCTTCTTAGTGTGCCTCCCCCGCCGCCTCCAGGGGACTTTGTTCTGCTGCTTCAGGGAGGTGTATTTCTGGAGCTGATAAGTTATAAGAATCCAAGGATTCTCGCTCTGTACATTTCTCTTTGTTATCATTTTGCTTCCAAAATTATATTCAGTTCCATTATGATTTACTTGTAATTTGTGTAGAAGTACAGTTATTTTTCTATGTATTTCCTTTCTGTTCTTTTTACTTTCTTTTTTATCAGTTTTGTGTCTCATTCCTACCTACCTCTCTGCTTTTTCTCTTTGTTCTGCCAGTATTTATTTCCAAATCCTTCCATGCCAGGCTGTTTCAACTTTTAGAGATACACCTGTGGGCAAGAGTAATAAAAAGGGGACAAAGTAACTGCTCCTTTTAAGGGTTGTGTAGGATCATGAAGAAGGATCAGAGGAATGAGTGAACTCTCCAGCAAACAAGTCCATATAGAAATTTTGCTGGGTAGACATTTGTAGTTTCAGGTGAAATTGAACTATTTAGGTGGTAATTGCTAAGGTTTATCCCACTGTGACAGCCCCTCCTTAGAAGCAGAGAAGAACAAGGGTTCTAATGGCTGCTGCTTCCTGATACTTGACAATAGCCTTTTTATGAACTCTTTTGTTTGGAATAATAATCCTGGGATGCCAACATTGATCACTTACTTTTTTATCATGAATGATTCACTTTACTTTGGGCATGTTTATTTTTATTTCATCTTTCCCATAAGGTACTTCCTTTTACTGCTCTTTAAGAATTTATTAGGGCCAAGGATTTAGCTCAGTGCCACTGCGCCTGCCTTATAAGCACAAGGTCCTAAGTTCGATCCCCAGAACAACCCCCCCAAACAAAGAATTTATTGCCCTATATTACTTTCTTGGATTTTCAGGGAAAACATACAAAGAAAGTTGACTTAGAATTTGTTTAACGTTATTGCTTGAAATAATTACATATTTTTATACTTTTTATAATAGTATAAACAACAGAGTTTCAGAGAAAATAATCTGATTATTATAGTGATAATATTGTAAGAAATTGGTATAAAAGTGTAATTATTAAGACTGTTTACCTTGATTTCTCAATTCTTCATGTTAACCAGAATTACCTTAACTCTTTCTTACTGAAATACTTTAAAGAAACTTTTATAATATCCTACCCCTGATAACTTACTATGCATGTATAAAAATGCCCATATTGTTATCAACTAACCAAAAGAATAATATCTTCATATTGTCAGCTGTATTAGAACAGTATTCATTCACATTGCCCAAAGTATTTCCAAATGTCTTTTATATATATTTCTGTTGTTAATAGAACCCTAGCAAGGGCCATAAGTAACATTTGATTATTCCTTTTGGAGACAGTATTTTGGGAGCAGTGTGGTTGAGACAAGGTCTCTTTATGCCCCAGGCTGCCTCAAACTTGCAATTGTGCCTTAGCCTCCCAAGTGCTAGAATTATAGGCTTGGACTGCCATGCCCGGCCTTTTTGGAAATAAATAACAAAACTGTTTTTCACTTCTCCCTCTCTAACACCTTCCTTCTCCCTTTGCCACACACAATGACTTTGACTGGTTGAAGAGAGTGAGCCAGTCACCCTGTGATATATATCCCACCTTCTGCATATGGCCGAAAATGGTAGTCATTTTTGTGATGAGTTAGGGTGTAGGCAGTGTCAGTGGTGAAATGTGATGGCAATTGAAAAGGTTGTAGACAGTGCAGTTTCCTGAGTCAGATTCAACCCTCACCTTGTAATTCCACGTGGAGACTTTCATGGCCGAGACAGTGGGGAAGGTACTCTTGGAAGACTAATAAATTACTATAGATACTTTCCCTTTTCCTGTTTTATTTATTTATTACTTGATTGATTCATTGATTGATTTATGATTCTGGGGATTGAACCCAGGGCTTCTGCACTGAGCTACTTCCCCAATCTGCCCCTTTTCAACTTTTGAGACCAAGTCTTGCTAAAAGTTGCCCGGGTGAGGCTTAAACTGCTATCCTTCTACCTTAGCCTCCTACAGTGCAGGGGACGTGTGAACCATGGCTGAGTTTTATTCTTCTGTTTGGACTGTGATTTCACTGTCATGACATATCTTAGTATTCTGACTATTTTAAAAATAAATGTTCGACTCAGTAAGGCACATGTGGAACTGTGAAAAGCATGGGCTTCATATTAGGTCTCAGCCACCTAGCAGCTCTGACATGAGGCTCAGTTTACTCCTCTGGTTAAGCAGAAATCTATGTCTTCTCCTAGGTGTCTCCTTATTTGCTGTTCAGAATGAGGAGAATAATAAGATAAATGTACAGGGCTGAAACTGAATTGTTCACTACATGATAGTGACTGTGGTTATTCCTGTTGATAATGTTTTGTTTCAGGTTGGAACTGAATTTGGTCTGTCTGGAGTAGAAAGAAAAAAGACCAGTATTGGAATGGAGCTGATAACAGATCCTTGCATCTTATTCCTGGATGAGCCTACTAATGGTTTAGACTCAAGCACAGCACATGGTATATTTTTACTCCTGAAAAGGTAAGTGCTGTGAGAACATTGTTCTTCAGTTTATTTAATATCTGATCACTTCTATGTACATAGTATTCTTGATGCAGGACACTCAGAATGGAATAACAGAATTTCTTCCATCCTGTTGGAGGGGAAAGGTCAATTAAAAAAGAAGATGGTGGTGGTGAGGGCTGATTTAAATAATAGGAGGGTCAGGGAAAACCTTAAACCCATAACGCAAAAGCTGAGAAGCAGTGAGTGAAACCAGGCTGGATCTGGCAGAGAGAGAGTGCTAGTTGGAAGAAGAGCAGCCAGGGAGCCTGGGCTGAACAGGCTGCCATGTGGGACATCAAAGAGGCCCAAGGGACAGAACCCAGTGACTAAGCAGAGTGGAATTTGGCTAGTGTACTGTTATAACAACATACCGCACCCTGAGTGGTTTAAATAACAGAAATTAATTTTCTTCCAGCTCTGGTGGCTGGAAAAAGATGTCCTCATGGCTGTTTTTTTTCTGACTCCTCTGTCACTGACTTCTTGATGGCTATCTTCTCCCTTGGTATTTTGTGTGAATGATGTAATCTCTTAAAAGGACATTAGTCTGATTAGGATCCTCTCAATGAACTTGTATAACCTTAATTACCTTTTTGAAGACTCTTACCTCCAAATGCAGCCCTATTCTGAGGTACTAGGCATCAAGGACTTCAGCACGTGAGTTCTGGGAGAACACAGATCAGCCCATCACAGGTTGAATAGGATGGGAGGTGGGATTGGGATGGTGGAAGATTATATAGACCTTGTAGGCTACTGTAAGAAGTATGGCTTTTACTGTAAGTAGAATGTGGGAGGCTTTTTGAGAGTTCAAGAGCAGAGCAGTGACAACTACAGAGAGCTATAGATATGGGCAGTGGTAAAGGTGAGGAGAACAGGAAGGAGGATGTTGAGGTCTGAGGGAGCCTTGACCAGGATGGTCATGGTAGGGGCTGAACAGAGGTGGGTTCTGGGTCTGTTCAGACCAGTTCAGGAATTGGACATGGGGTGGTTGATTTAGGGCATGAGTTCTAGGACTTGGAATCTGAACACATGGAATAATGAAGTAAAGTTTCTTATTTCATGAAGAAACAAGACTGGAAGGAGCCTTTTTCTTTTTGTATTAAATTCTTTTATTGGTACATTGTAGGTATACAACACAATTACATTTCTCATTGGGAATTGTACCTTTACATAATGCATCTTGG